GCGGGAGCGGCGCGCGCCGCCTCCCGCTTCCCGCCCTCGGCTCCCCCCGCGGCCCGTCCCGCTTCGCCAGGCGCCGCTGCCGGGCCCGGGCCGGGCCGGGGTCCGCGCGGCCGCCGCCGGCCTTGACCTTGGTCCCGCCGGCGGCTCCGGCCGCCCCGGGAACCGCGTTGGGCCGGGGGGATCCCCCCGGGATGCGGCGCTTCCCGGGATCCGTGCGGGCGCCGGGGGCCCCTCTCCCCAGACTCCCCTCACACCCCCTGCCTTTCCCATCCGGAGCCCCTTCCCACGTTCCTGGAGGACCCCAGGCCCCTCCGGCCTTGGGAACGCCGCTCCCGAAGGGAAACTTTCCCAAACTCCTACCCAAACCCCTCTCCTTCCAGGTCATATTTAACTTTATTTGACTTTTCCCCCTTTTCCTTCCTCGCCGCCGGCCACCGTCGGGTCCTTCCTGGCTCCTATTCCCGGCATTCCTTCCTCCTTCCCTCTTCCCGGGGCCTAAATATAGGCCAGCGTCCCGGCCTCGGGAGCTCGGCCTCCGCCCTGCCTCCCGTTTGGGCTTAAAGGGGGGGTGTTTATGTATCCAGGGGCTTCCAATCCCGCTTTAAGCGCTGTCCCGAATGGGTTCTGGATGACGGGTATTCCTTAGGAGCTGGGAAAAGCCCTCGGATGGACACACTCTTAAAAAATATCCTGGCTCATTAAAAGGTCGGAGGGGAGCCCGGAGTTTTGTTGCTTCCGGCGAAAATGGGTGGTTTTGCCCCAAAAACCAGGTTTGCGTGGGTCTGTATGAGGGTTTCTGCGCTTCCCGAAGGGACCTGTCGCTCCCGAGCCGCTTTCCCGGCTCTCCTGGCGTTTGCAGCAAAGTGCTCGCGTGCTGCAGGAACAGGAGAGCTTGAGCCCGACTTAGGCTTAGGCTTAGGCTAAGACTCCTCTCTCCGCGTCGCTCTGTGTTTATCCTCCAAGATTTCCCTCCAATGCCCCTTTTTCCCACTTTTTTCATGCTCCCGTTGCAGGAACCAGGATCCAAAACGCTCCTCACGCTGCCCGTCCGCCCCTCTTACGACCATTCCCGGCACGTATAGCCCCTATACATTAACCGTAGGGATAAATACGCGCCCGGCTCCTGGATTGCCGGGGGAGGCCTCGATTCACCCGGCGGCCGGGCAGCTGGAGAAATATTTTGGATTCCAGCTCCTGGGAGCTTGTGGAGCACTTGAGGTGGGAAGCGCTCCTCGGCGGGGACCTGACGGGCGACATTCCTGCGCTCGCCGCCTCCTCGGGCGCCGATCGCGGCGGAGATTCCGGCGCGTTCCCTTAGTGTGGGTGCGGGTTGGATCCAGGGGGGTGCTCACGGGTTAGGAATTCACGCCGGGTCTTTTGGGGCGCTTTTTGGGGCGTTTGGGTTTCCCGGAGCTACATTTCGGCGGTGCCTTCCTTATGGGAAGGGGTTGGCGTTCGGGAACGTTGTTGTTCCTCCTGCTCCCGGCCTTGGGAAGGGCTGGAGGATAAGGAGAGCCTGAGCTACTCGTCCCCCTTAACCTGGGAAAATCCTGTTGCATCCAGGAAAATCCCGTCGGATCCGGAGGGGGTGACGTCCCCAAACCGAGTCCCCCCAGCCCCGCGCGTCCCCTGCGGCAAGAGGGGGCTCCCGGCAGCCCTTCCCGACCGTCGCAGCATCCAGCCTGGAATGCGAGGCATTTTTCCCCCCCTCTTATCTCTGTTATTCCTTATCGGGAAGGTCTCGCACAGGTGGCGACGGCATCGGCAGGCGGCGGAGCCGGAGAGCCGCGTGCGGATAGCGAGCGCTTGGGAGCGAAGCCGAGGAAACGGACCTTCCCGCCTAGACCTGCTTCCTCCGAGGGTAAATCCGTGGCTTTTTTTATCCCCTTCCTAAGATATCCGTAAGAAATTCCTAAGATATTCCTAAGAAATCTCTTAAGAAGATGCTCCTGCCGTAAACGCCCGGCTCCGGAGCTCGGCGCTGGCGGGAGAGCGGGCGCCGCGGTGGTTTCGATAGCGAGCCCGTGGTGATAAGAGGATATTCCGAGTGCAGAGCATTGGGACAAGTCTGTCCCTCGGGCCGGGACATCTGCCGACTCCTCCGCGCTGTCGGAGTTGTCGGATTCCATGTGAAAGGAACGGGGATTCCCGTGAACGGAACAGTGTTTTCCCCCCCCAGCGCGAGAATTGGCACTGGAATTTGTTGAGGAGCGTCTAGGAGGCCTGAATTGGAGGATAAGAGGTGCTTCCGAGATCTCCTCTGGATTAAACTGTGGAATCCCGGCGGGAAGGGCCGGCGGCGTTCGGGAAACAAAGCGGCTTCCCTGAGGAGGGGAGAGAAATGGGAATCTTAGGTGGGTTTTTGCTGTCCAGGGGGAAGTTCCTGGCCTCTTGTCGGGCAGGGAGTCTCCGTGGCTCCGCAGGAACGTCTGCAGGTTGGCACTTTGCCGCCTCCAAGGGGCATTTTCCCCCCCGCAGCCTTCCCCGTGCTCCCAAATCCCTTGTGTATCCCGAGTTTTCCACGTCCCGGAGAGGAGCACGTGGATAGGGCTGTATTTCATGGAGATGCCCGACCTGCTTGCACGGAGCACCGGGCACTAAGGTCATTATCCTAGACACACATTTGGGTCAGATGAGGGACTTTTTTGTATTCCAGCTGGATTTTGTTGCTGGAAGCCCTGGAAAGGGGGTTGGACAGCACTGGGTGATGGAATTGCAGGGGCCGTGTCACCGTTTGCTCGGGGTCAATTTGGTTCCTCCCCGAGCGACCGGGTCCACAAAGATGCCCGACTTGGCCTCCTCTTTGCGCACTCGGTCTCGCAGGAAGCAATTCCCCACATCCTGGGATAAACCTGTCGGGTTTTGGCCTTTCAAGAGCCGAGGAGTTTGGAAATAAGAAGAATAAATAGGTGAGGAGGGAGCTTGAGTCCCCCCCTGATCAAAACGTTGCAAAATTAATGGAGAAAAGGGTTAATCCGTTAGGGGCAGGGCTCTCGGAGCCTTTGGGAAGGCACCGGTGCCGGAGCGAGCGGCAACGGGATGCCCCGTGCAGGGAGGTTGGACTAGGCAGCTCCAAAGGTCCCTTCCAACCTTCAGGATCGTGTGATTCCAAGCAAACAGCCAGGACGTGGTGGCAGTTCCAGAGCGCTTTTGAAGGCGAATAACTGTCGTTTTTTTTTTCCCCTCAGCTCCTCCCTGGGAAGGAATTCCGTGCGTTAGCAGCGCCGGGAAGCGCTTCTCCCTTTGGAGAACGGAGCTTCTCCCTTTTGAGAGGGAGCTTCTGGCCCGCGCGCCGGCCCCGCAGGTTGGTGGCGACGCGGGGACATTCCTTGCCGGATGGGGAGCTCCGCGGGGAAAAATCCCGCGGGGAAAAATCCCGCAGGTGGTTTTCGGGGGTCTTCCTTGGTGGCCGCCGGGAGCGCTCGCGTGGACGGTTAGTGCGGATCGGAGCTGGATGCCAGGTGGGAATTGCCAGGTGGGAATTGCCAGGTGGGAATTGCCAGGTGGGAATTTTCGGACGCAGACGCAGCTGCCCGGGAGAGGTGGCCGCCGCCATCAGGATGTGGGACAATGGTGGGAAATGCCTGGGAAATAGCGGGAGATGCCGCGCTGGAAGCAGCCGAGCCTCTTTCCCGTTGGAAAGAGGCCTTGGGAGCAAGTAGGGAGCAAACGGGCGCCGTGGGGTGGAAGCGGCCGCCGAAGCCCCCGCTGGTGCCCGACGTTCCTGCGTCGCAGCCGGCGCTTCTGCTTCCAGCAGCCTCCGCCTTCGGGATAAGGGAGGTCACCGGGAAGCGGAGGCCGGGAGGAGGCCTGAGCTGCGGCCCCCGGATAGCAGCGTTTGCGGATCAGGAGGCACAAAACACCCAAATATCTCAAAGGTGTGATTTACGTTTTTCCCGTGCTGCCTCCGGCTCCGGTGGCTCTCCCGCGTGGGGCGGGATTGCCCTCCTCGCGTTGGCTCTGGAGCCGCTTTGGGCCCCAAATTTGGGAAGTTTTCTGGGCTGGGGTCTCCCGTTGTGCTAATGTCACATACGGGTCTGGGAGGTGGCTGCTTGTCCCCCGGGATGGGGCAATCGCTCCTCAATCCCCGTCACTAAATACAGGGGGGGAAAAAAACAGGGAATTGGGCCTCCTATCCCACGCCAGGGCTTCAGGCTGATCCCAGCTCCCTGCGCATTCCCTGGTGCGTTGGATAATTCCTGGATAATCCAGTGAAACGCAGAGTAGGGTAGGGGTCCCGCCTTGGCTGCAGAAGCGGGGATTGTCCTGGGAAGCGGGAGCACCGGGACCTTCGGGATACAGCTCGGGAAGGGGCTGGAGCTGGCCGGGTTGGCGCTGGTGCCGTCGGCGACACCCCCGGATGGCGCGGGATGCGGAGCGGGCGCAAAGGAGCCCTCGGAGACGCGGGAGCCCCCGGCCCAAAGCCGGCGGCGGCAGCCTCGCTCCGAGCCCGGCTTTGCAGAGCCCGGCCTCAATGGCAGGAGCCCGATGCCCGCGGAGGCCCCGGGAAGCGCTGGCCGCTGGGAATGCCTTTTAGGGCTGTCGGCGGCGGGCAGGAATGCCTTCCATGTGTGGGCAGGCTCCGTGGCGCGGCGGTGCCCGCGCCTGCCGTTGGCGCCGCGCCTGCTCCGAGCCCGGCGCCGCCTCCGGACTCCCTCCCACAGCTCCGACGGACGCGTCCTGACGCCCAAGCTTTCCCAAATCCCGCTCTTGGCTCTTGCTTTTCCGCTCCGCCGGGGGCGCAGAGCCCGGCCTAAACGTTATCCTTGAAGAAGTTAAGCCAGAATTAGCAGGAGCAGCTCCATTCCTTCTCCTTGGATTCCTCAATTCCTTGCCCGGAGGAGCCGGGGGCCATCGAGTTGGCCACGAGCCCTCGGAAACCCTTGGGCAACAAAGCCCTCCTTGCTCCAGGAGGCCCTCGGGACGAATTCCAGGGGCGCCTCCGGATCCCGGACAAGCCGAGGGGGTCTCCGCAGGGCCGGAATGCCGCCGTGGGGCCGGGATGGGGCCGGCGGGGAAGCGCTCGGGCAGTTTGATAGTTAACCTGCGGAGCGCCTGCACGCGGAGCAGAGGTCCTGGGAAGGGCTGAGGAACGGACTATTTTTACCCCGGCGCACACAGGCCCCGCCGTGTTTATTTTAGCCTCGGCCGCCGCTTAGGCGGGCGTGTTTTTACTAATACCGGTACTATCGGATTAAAAAAAAACAGGGAAAAAAACCCAGGAAACTCCCCTGGGAATCGCAGGGCACGCCACGGCTCCGGGACCCTGAGCTTGGACAGGGACGTTGCAGGGAAGTCTCTTTAAGGAGCGTTTATCCCGATGGGATAAACGGGAAGCGCAGCAACCGTCGGAGTTGGGATACAGGCTCTGACCTCAAATTACGCCCCATAATTTTAGTTTTTTCCCCTCTTTTAACACTGCTGCCGCCCACATCTAGGTGCTCCCTTCCCGTCCGCCGGCAGGGAAGGATGGACATCGGGATGGATCGAAGGTCCCTGTATGTATGTACATACGTGACGGTATGTCCATACATTCCTTGGGCTCAGCCCTTGGGAATTAGCACCGGTTATATGTGACTTTTGGCAGCGTTGGACACGGTGGCATTCGGCACACGCGGTTTTTGGGGTGTCTTTTCTCACTCGTTGACCATCCAGGAGAGCAGAAAGAAATAAAACCGCTCCGTCTATGGGCTGATATCGGGAGAGCCCTAATGTTATAACCCGGAAAAAGCAAATTCTTGGGCAAACACCCTGGGAAAAAACGGGAAAAAATCAGGGCCGTCCCCGTGTTGTAAAGCAGCGGATTTGCGCGGCGGGTTCCCGTTTCACCCGGGATATTCCATTGCAGTCACCTAACACCGCGGTGCAAGCGAGGTGACTTCATTTAAAACATTTATGGAAAGTATTTTGGGAGGAGAGGGCCCGGAATGCCGCTCTAGTATCGCTTAAAATATCCCTTGGGGCACTATCAGCTTGAAAGATTCCCGGGTTTTATTTGGGAGCCGCGGCTTCCACCTTCGGCCAAGGCTCCTTGCCTGGTTTTCCACAAGTGGGGAAGGCGGCTCCGGGTTTTGAGCATTCCCAAGGGGCTGCTCCTGCCTCTTGGATAATTCCCATAGGGAAAAGGAAGCCCGGGAGGTTGGGGGGGTGGCTCTGGAGCCCCCTCCAAGGCTCCTTTCTGCCTGTGCGGAGCTGAAACCTGTTTTCTGGGATGAGACCTGCTCGGACATCCGGATTGCGCTGAGGGGCGCTCGGGGAAGTGTCACTCCATGGGTAGGTTGGGGCGCACTCCCCGTGTCCCCCCCCGGGCTTTGGGGCTCCGCGGTCGTTTTAGCGCTCCCGGGAACGTGTTGGCCGGGAACGCGGCCATGGCAGCTGCCGTGCAGCTGTCCCTACGGATCCGCCCGGCGCCTCCGTCCCATTCCCGCCCTTTTCCCTCCCTTTCAGCCCAGGGTGGGTTTGGCGCCCAAGGCGCCGTCGGACCTGGTGGCTCCTGGGCGGGAAGGGCTTTCCTGGCGCTCCCGGCTCATCCCAAGGGGAATTGAACACGGAATGGGCTGCAGGGTGAGCAGGGAAGCACTTGCCGCCCCTCGCAGCTTCTCGCGGGCGGGATCCTCCCGGCGGCTCCGGCGTGTCCGAAACCGCCGCGTTCCCGCTGAGCCGCCGCCGCTTCCCGACCCAACCTGCCGAGCAGCCGGGCGGGAATGCCGGGAACGCGGGCGGCCGGCGGCTCCGTCCTCACCTCCGCTGGACCGGTGAGCGGGACGACGGGATCCACGGGGATCCCGTGGGATGCGGGCCGGGAATGCTTGCTCCAACTCCTGGCCATGCTGCTGATCTAGGGAGCCGATAAGCTTCCAAGCTGATAAGGGCAGGTTTTCCCCCATTCTTCCCCTGCCGAAGGGAAGTGGCAACGAGGGAGGGGACGGGATTGGGCTGCAGAGGGAAGGGAACGCAACTCATTCCAGCCCCGGATTGTTCTTTGCAATCCCTTTTTTCCCCCCCCCGGCCGCTGCTTTTCCCTCCTTTCCCTCCTCCGCAGCCTCCCGTGGGAGGAGGCAGCTCGGGCGCCGGCCCAACCACCTGCCGCCCCTTGGGCTGAGCTTAACTCCCCCTCCTAAACTGCCAGCCCAGGAATTTCGCCGCGGGCTCGTTGCGGGCAAAGGAGTTAAGTGGAGGGGGAAAATACATCAAATGCTCCATGCAAATGCCCAAAACGGGGTGTTTTTCACCAGGATCCCATCCCATCGGTGCCGGTAAGGATGGAGAGCCTGCCGGCATGGAACAGCAAACCTTGGGATAAGGGAGATGGGAATGACCCGGGGGCGCCGGGACCAGCTCCCAAATCCTGGGGTATTCCCATGGATTTGTGCGCGCGCCTGTTGCAACTCCAATGCAGCGGTTTGCACGGCTTAGAGCAAGGTCCTCTCTTGCTGGAATTGTTGGGAGAGGGATTTTTTAGGCTTAGCCTATGGAAAAGAGAGGATTTCCAGGCCCGCCTGCACATGCGGCTCCGACTTCCCGGTGAGTCTGATGGACTCCTTGCAATTCCAGCGCTCCTGGTGCGGCCGGGCTTGGTAGGGAGGGGAAACCTATGGAAACCGGGAATTCCGGATGGGTTTTTCCAGGCTGTCCGAAAGGCAGAGGCTAATCCAGCCGCAGCGTAACCGAGTTTATTTCCAAGCTAATTCACACTCCGGCATCTCTCGCTGTGCCGAGTCCTCGAGGTGTGCGGAGCTGCCGGAGCCGGACGGTAGGATTTGGGGATGTGCCACGTAGGGAGTCTCCCGAGTGGCACGTGGGGAATTTCGTTGTCCGTGTTAGCTCGGTTGAAGCTGGAATTTGTCAGAAAGGGACAAAAAATCATCCTTGTTTTGGGCAATTTTTTTGCTTTGTGTTTTTCCGCTCCCGGAGTTTGGGTGCGGAATTGCGCTCCCAGAATTTGTGTCCCCCCCCCAAGCCTCTCTCCCCTCTCCGGGCTGCTAATTAGGTGTAATTTGCAGGTAGGCAAATGAGGTGACTGAAATCAGTGCCCCGTGAGGAGGTGTCTTGTTGGAGGCGCCCGATTCCTTGGCTAAATCCCATTCCCTGCGCCGGGTTATCGCGGAGAGCAGAAGGCTCCAGCCAGAAGAGAAGGAGCCCATGAAATAGAGAGAGAAGGAGCCCATGAAACAGAGGCACCTCCATGAGGGAATGGGGTTTGGTGGTGATGGGACCCTCTTTTTGGCCATCGCGGAGTGGCCATGAGGACTCGGACCTCCCCGGGGCACGTGGGGCTGCCTCCGAAGCAGCACATGGAAATAGGGCTTCCTTGGATGACCATGGATCATGAAGCCTCCTCGGGGGTTTCACCCTCTCTGGTTGGGTGCCCATAGAGCCCGGGGCGCTGGTTGCTGCTCCCATCACCCGGAGCAGGGAGGAGGCTCCGGTCGCATTCCTGGCCGGGCAAAGTTCATCCCTCAGGGTCTTTCCCTTCTCCCCATGGATTCCCTGGTATTTGATAAGACCCAAACCTCCGGTGGAAGCTTCTCCTCCGGTTAGGTCCTGCTTAGCTGCGTGGGTCGCTCTTTGCCCCCAGGCTCCCCTGGGATCCCATGGTTGGCCATGAGGGGCTTCTTGAGGTGGAAACAGCCCCTTGGCCCCTCTTCCATGCCCAGTATTGGCCCCTTGTATTTTGACCTGTGTGAATTCCTCTCCTCCTTCCTCTTGGTGTTGGGATGGGGGAAGCTTTGGAGCCTGCTGCGGGTTGGCTTCCTTGGACTCCCGGTCAAGAGGCCGGGGCAGATCCTTGGCCCTGGTTCCCTTGGTGCTTTTAGGTGCCCCACATTGCTCTTGACCACTCCTACACGCAGTGGTCTCCTTGGTCCTGTTTTTTTCCCCTTGGGAAAGGCTGGAACCCATTTTTTATTGGGCAAACAGAGGCAAAGCGGCAAATCCAAGGCCCCCGGGATGGATTCTGCCATCTCGGCAGCACCCAACTATGGGTTTGGGGCTGAGGGTGGCCGGGGAGGCTCCGTCTTCGCCGCCTTGGGCCTCCCGCCACCCTTGGGTGCTCGGCCCTGCCGGAGAGGCCACAACCTCCTTCTTTAGGAGCAGCCTTTCGATATTTGTCGGCGCTTCCTCCAGCGAAAGAGAAACCTCTCGGCGGTGCCGCTCACCGCGACCGCTTCCTCCGGAGCCCTTGGCCTCCGGGAGCAAATTAGTGACTTCCCAAGCGGCTTCCCCATCAGGAGAGTCGTGCGTGGTCCCCTGCCCGGGACGTGTCGCCTTAAGCAGGGAATGTGGATGGAAACGCGTGAGTTTGGCCAGGAAAAGGACGGTGAAGTGAGTATCCGTTCCTGCCTTCCGCCTGCACGTCCTGTTTGCCCCTTTGGGGGGACTTTTATCCCTCCCTCCTGCGCCCGACCGGGTGTCACCAGAGCTGGGTGCGGATTACAGCGTGGGAAGGATGGGAAGCCCCAAAAGGGGGTCAGCGCCAAGGGGGTGTCACCGTTACCCCATCGGGCCCTGCCTTCTCCTCTTCCTCTTCCTCCGCCGAGCCCCTCGCTGCAGCCAGCGGGGTGACGCCCGCGTGACTCATTGCACTTAACTAAGGAACAGGCAGCACTGCATCCCTGGATCCCTTTTTTGGGACCCTTTGGGCTGGGGCTCCTCTTTCCTTCGAGCTGGGGCACTCAATTGGCGCTTCCTTTCCTGAGCACGTCGATCAACAGTAGCTCAGGTAGGTGGAATTTCCCCTAACGCTCCTAAAATCCCGCTTTTTCCAGAGGCAGCGCCTTGCAGGGCAGTTCCTGGCCCCTTCGATGGCCTTAATGTGCCGGGGGCGACTAATTAGCGACTGCCTTTGGGCGATTGCATTAGGGGCAGCTGGAGCGAGGCCTCGTTTCCCCCAGTTCTTGCGGTTTCCCCCCAATTCTGGTCCTAAAAGTAGCCACCAGGCAGATGACTGCCCTGGTTTCCCCCAATTCTTGGTGTTTTCCCCCAATTCTTGGTGGTTTCCCCCAATTCTTGGTGGTTTCCCCCAATTCTTGGTGGTTTCCC